TCATCCAGCCCTCGTCCCCATCTAGCCGAAACTCGCTCCCCCATCGCCGGTATACCCTAGCCAACCCTAGCCACCCCAGCAGTGCCAAATGGGGCTCTTCTTCGGCACCGGCAGCAGCAGCAAGTTGAAGGGCAAGGCCCCCACCGTCTCTTTCCCCCACGGAGTTCCTCCCGCCTCTGCCGCCGCCGACTCGCCGGCAGAGGTAGCACGTGAACGTGCCCGTGCACCAGGCGGAGTGGCACTGGCAGCACCGCGTGCCTCTGTCATACCCCGACGCCACCCTGCCGCACGACTGACCTATGGATCCGGAGAGGATCCCAGTGCTGGCGGCGCCGCGGTCGGCTAGAGCGCACACGGAGGAGGTGTGTCGCCGGCGGGCGCTGCTGACAGTGCCGCGACTCCGCCTACGCAACCGACTCGCCCAACTAGGCGAGATGGTTCGCGTTCGAGCACAAGGATGCGAGGCGACGCGGCGTGCGCGGGGTCGACCGTACCTTGCCGCTGCCCCCGCTCATCATCCGCGAAGAAGACCAGGCGGCGGAGGACGCCTACCAGGCGGCCCTTGTGGCCGTCTACTGGGAGAGCAAGGAGGACGAGCAGCGCAGGACGAAGGCGGTGGAGGAAGAGGAGGCTCGGTACGAGACGGCCATGGCCCTCTCTGCAGTGGGCGACTACGTGGTGCTGCCGGTGGCCCCGCCGTCCCCTCCCCGCCGCCTCGTCAAAGCCGAGCTGCAGCCGGAGCCGGAGCTGGTGCCCCTCGAGCGCTCCTCCTGGACGGGAATAGTGCACGAGTGGGTCAGCGCGCCGCCGGTCCGGCTGGGGGCGACGCCGGCGCAGGAGGCGGCATACCTCGAGAACTGGCGGCAGATACGGGTGGTCGAGGAGCGCCGCAACGGCGAGTACCTCGAGATGCTCGAGCGCGATGCCGAGGCCAAGCAGCGTGAGGCCGAGGAGAAGGCGTGCCAGGCCGCGGCGGCCCAAGCGGCGGCACAGCCCGCGCCCGACATGAACGCGCTCTGGAACACGGCGTTCCCCTGGCACGGCCCGGCGCCGATGCTCATCGACCTCACGGACCCCGAGGAGGAGGACGACGACACCTTGGGCAACGCGCCGTCGCGTAATTTAGTTTGTTTTTATTTTTCTTAAATGCAAATGTGGACGCGTGGGCTCCAGCCGGCCTTCGTGGCCGGCTTTAATGTTTAATTAATATTGCTTTTATTTTAAATATGCATGCATTCTTTTTTTCTAGCATCGTAAAAATGGGTCGCGCCAGGGTTGGGCACACGCGCCGACCCAAACGCGGAAGCGGACGTTCGTGTCCGCCTGGCTGACCCAAACGGACGAAAAGCGGACTAATATACACCGTCTCCATTCTTCTGGCATCTTGTTTGCCCAAAAAATGAGGTTGAAAAACTTGGTTAGCCATACTATCGCTATGTCCCCGAGACCTTTCCACACCTCAATGGGGATACAATCAGGGCCCATCGCCTTGCCTCCTTTCATCCTTTTTAAAGCCTCCTTCACCTCAGACTCCTGGATGCGCCGCACAAAACGCATGCTGGTCTCATCAAAGGAGTCATTCAGTTCAATGGTAGAACTCTCATTCTCCCCATTGAACAGCTTGTCGAAGTACTCCCGCCATCTATGCTTAATCTCTTCGTCCTTCACCAAGAGTTGGCCTGCTCCGTCCTTGATGCATTTGACTTGGCCAATATCCCTCGTCTTCCTCTCCCGGATCTTAGCCATCTTATAGATGTCCCTTTCACCTTCCTTCGTGCCTAACCGTTGGTAGAGGTCCTCATATGCCCGACCCCTTGCTTCACCAACAGCTCGCTTTGCGGCCTTCTTCGCCATCTTGTACTTCTCTATGTTGTCTGCACTCCTATCCAGGTATAGGCGTCGGAAGCAATCTTTCTTCTCTTTAAGCGCCTTCTGGACATCATCATTCCACCACCAGGTATCCTTATCTTCGCTTCTCCTTCCCCTAGACACTCCAAACTCCTCCGAGGCCACCTTACGAATGCAAGTCGCCATCTTCATCCACACATTGTCCGCATCCCCTCCTTCCTCCCAAGGGCCCTCCTTAAATACCCTCTCCTTGAACACCTGAGCTACCTCCCCCTTGAGCTTCCACCACTTCGTTCTAGCGACCTTGGCACGCTTATCCCGCTGGACACGAATCCGAAAGCGGAAGTCAGCAACCACCAGCTTATGCTGGGGTACAAGACTCTCCCCAGGTATCACCTTACAGTCTAGGCACGCACGCCTATCTTCTCTTCTCGAGAGGATGAAATCAATCTGACTAGAGTGTTGGCCACTACTAAAAGTCACCAGATGCGATTCTCTCTTTCTAAAGAGGGTGTTAGCTACAATCATGTTGTAGGCTAGAGCAAAGCTTAAGACATCTTCTCCTTCTTGATTCCTGATGCCATAGCCAAAGCTCCCATGCGCCCCTTCAAAACCTGTGTTAGATGTACCCACGTGGCCATTGAGGTCTCCTCCTATGAAGAGCTTCTCACCAATCGGTACACTCCTAACCATGTCTTCCAAGCCTTCCCAGAACTCCCTCTTGGTGTTCTCATTGTGGCCTACTTGCGAGGCATATGCGCTGATAACATTGAGAACCAAGTCCTCAGCTACCAGCTTGACCAGGATAATCCGGTCCCCACGTCTCCTGATGTCTACCACTCCATACTTGAGGCTCTTGTTGATCAAGATGCCTACGCCATTTCTATTTGCAGCCGTCCCCGTGTACCACAGCTTGAAGCCGGTATCCTCCACCTCCTTCGCCTTCTGTCCTCTCCATTTGGTTTCTTGGACGCAAAGGATATCAACACCTCTCCTCACTGCTGCATCAACTAGCTCCCGAAGCTTCCCTGTCAGAGACCCTACGTTCTAGCTACCTAAGCGAATCCTCCTAGGCTCGGCTAGCTTCCTTACCCTTCGCACTCGTCGAGTCAAATGCGAAGACCCTTGCTCATTTTCCACTACATCCGGGCGCCGATGTAGCGCGCCACTAAGGATGCGACGACCCGATCCTCGCTCACTTGCCACCGTATCCGGATCAAGATACGGCGCGCCACTTGGGGGGTGACGGCCCGGCCCTTGCCCATTTTCCACCACACCCGGGTTCCGATGTGGCGCGTCGCTGAGAGGGTTACGCCCCAACGAAAATCTTTTGGGTTTCATCTCCATAAGAGTGGCTGAGTTTTTACGTTGCCTCGCCAAGCCTATCACAACCCTCCTCCTTTACCCGGGCTTGGGACCGGCTATGTTGAGACAACATAGGCATATAGTAACAACACAAAATCCCAAAATAATAGGAAACATCCGGTGGGTTTTTATCGGGCTGACTAAACCCATTTATATGGGAAACTACAACCCGCTAACAAGTGCACGTATCTAGATGAGATGGACGGC